CATCAATTTGTGAGGGGCTAGAACTGAAAATATTGCCCTCTGCTACGTTCCTCTGAGATGCTGAGGACAGTAAAGATAGAACAGTTGATTTAAAAGATGCAACTGTGTTGTCAGATAGAGACCAACTATAGTGAAATTTACTTTCATGTCTCGAGAACTCAGTTATAAAAAACTCAAAGGTTATCAGAAAGTGGTCTGAGAGGACTGGATTATGTGGAAAGATCGTTATTTCCTCACACTCTATGCCATAAGTCAGCACAATGTCCAATGTATGATGGCAGGAGTGGGTGGAGCTATGTATTCTTTGAGTAAAACCAATTGAGTCTAAGATATTACTAAAGGCTACATTGAGGCTATCATTTTCAGTGTCCACATGAATATTAAAATCCTCCACTGCAATGACCTTATCAGTATTTAGTACCAAATCAGATAAAAAAAATCAGAGATCTGATCCAAAAACTCAGAGTAAGGGCCTGGTGGACGATATAAAACTACAAACAAGAGTGGTTTTACAGTTTTGCAATCTGGATTAGGAAAACTAAGAGTAAGATGTTCGAACAAACTGTAAGGGATTGATTAATAAGTCCGAATGAAAAATGGTTTCTGCTCCTCCTCCTCGCCCTGTACTTCGAGCAATATGATGATTTGAATAATTTGAAGGAGTCGACTCGTTTAAGCTAACATAGTCCTCTTGTGGCAGGCCAGAGAGGGAAATCTGTCTTTATTTAGAAAATGTTTCAACGTTTTCTTGACACTTTGACTATTTTCTTGAAACAATATTTTGACTATAGCTGAAAACATTTTCTCAACATTTTGACTTTGAAAGTAATTCTAAGTTTTTCTAGACATTTGGATTTTGTTTTGGAATTATTTCCAGTTTTGGCTCTACATTTTTGACATAATTCTCTAAATGATGCTTAATTTTCTCAACTTTTTGAATTTATTCAGATTAATCTTTTTCTCAACATTTCAACTTCAGTCAAGGGGTTGGATTGGGGGTTAAACCACCAAATAGTTCCCGAGCGCGGCCGTGTCTTGCAGCTCACCGCTCACCCAGGGGTTGGGTCAAATGCGGAGAACAAATGTCGCAAACACATCACTGTGTGTGACAACTAATGGGACTTTAACTTAAATAACTCTTTGATCTCACATTTTCCTCTCTTCCTGTACAACAATAATCTGTGGTTTTAAGTGTATTTTTGAAAAAGATATAATAAAAGCCAACAGAAAAGCAAAATGTGCAACAAGATGGTGAGTTTTTAAATGTGGCCCGATTAAGTAGTTCCCCCTCTAAGCAGCATTTATTTTTTATGTTTTATATTCTTTGGTCCTTTTAAGTCCAGTCTGAAGCTTTGTTGTTTAATGTGGGCCAGTCTTAAACATCCCATATGTGATGTCACGAGGTGGATGCATGTCATCATTGGTTAAACCAGGTCTATACAGCCATTACCTTTTGTTCTCTCAGAGCATGTGCAGACTGACCCCAGACCTGCTGGTACACAATGTGCAGACACGTGGGATTAATCATTGTTTACAAATATGCTGAACAGAAAGTTCACATTGACTGCATTTGCTTTAAGTTAGATTAAGTGTTGAATATTTTCCAGAATGTGGCACCGCTGGGCTCTTGTTTCTGATCCAGTGAAGAAAAGAATATGGGACCTTCATGTAACGAGGTTAACCATCATGCTGCATGTGAGGATTTTACTGGGCCCCCTTTAGCTGCCATTTTGTTCATTGGGTCAGCTGCTCGCCATGTTCCAGCATGTTTCCTTTGTTCTCTGGTAGTCAGGGTTTTTTCCACTTTGTGTGGTCTTTGATTTATAATTGCCTCCTTGTTTCGATGTTTTTTTCCTGGTATTTCTGCTCAGATCTCAAAGGCAGCGAAGATGCAGGAGGCTGTAGACTGTAGGGAGTGGCGTTTAAGGCGATCGTGAGTGAGCATGCGGGGTGTGTGGTCAAAAGTAGCTCATCCTATTGGAAGAATCCTTTCTGATCTCTGCTGACGGTTTACGTAACGGCAGAAAGGAAGCTGGCGTGACATCACCTCCCACTCTCCTATGTCTCCTCTCCACACACCCAATCATCTCAGTCTGTATATGATCCAGGCTTAGTAAGAAGGGAAGACTTGAAACACAAACACACACACACACATTCAGTCTCCCATCCTACAGAGCTCCATCCTGGCCTCTATTGTTGCTCCCCACCATGTGAAGCTCCCTCAGATTAGAGGGGCCAAAGGGCGTAGCGGTGGTCGTAGTGGGGTTTGTTTGGAGTGGTTTTAGCCTGAGAACATCAATGAGAGAGAGAGGGCTGAACGAGGCAGGAGAAGTGGCGCGGGGCCGGGACGCCATGGCCCTGGAGGTGCTCTTCTGGGAGCTGGAGGAGCATCTGAAGAGGTAACGATGGCTGGCCTGTTGTCTGGTTGGTGGGGCTTGTTTTTGTGGTGTTCCAGTCTTCTCTGTGCAGTGAGGTGTGATGATCCATCACCTCAGCTGCTGCCTTCAGGGACACCTTGTTCTTGTTTTTGTAAGTTATGATTACATTCAACAAGTTTTACTTTTAAACTGATGTCCCCAAATAAATCAAGACCTGTCCAACGGCAAGCATGTTTGTCCTGCTTCATCTAAGTTGTGTTGTTCCAACATTTAATTCTAGTTCATCAAAAGCTCTCAGAGCTCCCTCAACATGGAGGGAATTTCAGTCGGTTATTAAACAGTGTCTGTATGTCATGAGCGTTAGAATAAGATGGAAAGAGACACAAATTTGAGTTTCAGAGCAATTTGAATAAAACCTAATGTTGTGGAAAACAAGCTAACTGCTGCACCTATTAGGCTAAAAACAACAAATATGGAGTGTGGCTTGTCAAAGGAAAAGCATCATGTGAGCCCCAAATGAACATTAGGCATAACTCTGATCTTTTTGTTACATTTAGACATTAAAACAAGTGCTAGTTCTTTTTTCACTTGGTCACATGAGGGGAAACATGGACAGACAGCTGCTATAAAAGCAGAGAAGAGCTGCCAAGCAAGTTCAAATGTATGTCATTTGTTCTTTTTTTCATGCTGAATTCTATTTCATAGCGTGTGTGAGGAGGTGTTTATTGAAAGTAACTGGCTTTTTTGGACAGGTGTCACTCTGCTAGTGTGTTTTGCCCTCATTCTACCGCAGTGACACCTGTATGTGGGTGTAGCCTTCAGTAAGGGGAGGACGTTCATATTGTTGGAAAGCATTTCAGTAATTGTAAGAATTTTAATCTTACACGGTTTTTATTATCCTTTTGGGGCTAAAATGTGAATAAACTTTGTTTTCATAGCTCTGGTTTCATTTCAGATTAACTGGAATAGATTAGAAGAGTCTCTAGCATTAGATTGATCCTCAGACTGCTCAATCTAAACATTGTACCGCCAGTGTTTGTCGTGAGCGAGTAAGAGGCTAGATCTAACGCTAAACAATGTCCAGTAAGAAATCGCAGAGATGCTAAATGTGGTGTTCTCTCAGCAGCTGCTTGTTTTTGACTTATTTGGATTTCAAGACAAGAAAACATGTTTGCTAACACACCTAGCAGGTGTTTGTCCGCGACTGGAGTCTGCTTTACAAACGAACACACAGGCTGCTCTCTGAACAGCAGAGCGGGACAGGGACAAATATAACTCTGCTAAGGTGCTTAAAGCAGGGCCAGGTGGCAGGAGTTGGCTCATTTTGCTCGTGTGTAATCTTAGTGTTTTTCAACGTGGATGAATGAGTGTCGGAGCCTTCATCTCAAACCCAACCATGTACACAGATTGTGCTTCCTTTTCATTGTTTGTTGTTTATCCCGTTGCTAACAACAACACACACCTTTTTGTGGTCAAACCGAACCTTTGTTTTTTAACTCATGGTAAATATTTTTCTGAGGCTGATTGTGGAGCCTTTGGGGTTTTAGCTTTTTTGTGAGTTAATGAGGTTTAACATAGAAATGGTAATAAAAAGCGATTATTATAGTTTTTGTATTTAAAAGAGAAGGCTGTATTTGTTGGTTGCTGATATCAGATTTTCTTACATGATTTGACCGCAAATTATATTAGTTCTCAATCTGTTTGTTTCATCCTTGCTTTGAGGGTGTTACCACTCATTGCCTATAGGTGGCGACCTTGCTTTGCCTCACATCTTGTGTTTTCCAAAACAAGTTTTCTATTATCCTTTGGCCACATTTACTGACAAAAACTAAACATTTTGATGAGATTGACATTGAAATGTGCCAAGATAACCGTTCGGGGAAAATATATGTAGTGTAATTAAAGTTTCAGGCGTTTTAAAGTCGATTTAGTCCCTCGTTTGGTTGTGAAGCAACAAACAGCAGGTAGAAAGATGCTACTGTACATAGATTTTATAATGAGCTAGCTCCCGTCCAATCAGAGGCGTCCTTGTGTCAGCGCTCTGCATGTTTTATGCTAATGAGCGCCTCTCTCCGCCAATCAGACGGCGGCAGGTGCTGTTTTTCCTGCATGAATTACCCGCAGAGGGAACCGAGGTGCGCGGAGCAGCAGCCCGCCGCTTCAGTCTTTTGTGTGCTCTGTCCCGGCCGCGAGCTGCTCCGACGCCCCGGGGGGAAGCCGAGCCGCCGCGCGGGGCTCCAGAATGCGCTGTTTTTCTACTTTTCTACCGCTGGACCTGCCAGTTCTCCAGCCGACCAGAGAGGCTTTTTAATGGGCTGGATAGCATGAGTTCCCAGTGTTACACGGTGGCGATGGACCTTGGTGTTTGCCAGCTGAGGAATTTCTCCATATCGTTTCTGTCCTCTGTGCTCGGGAAGGAGAGCGCGTCAGTCACGGTTAATAACAGGTACAGGCTGCGGGTTTAGCTTCTCTGCGCCAGATGTCCATGGTCTTATACGTGTTTTTGCTGTTTTTCCTCCCATGAAATAATGTTGATTATTATTGTGATTAGGACCCAGTCTCGGCTGCGGCGGAAGTCATCCGCAGTGTTGCATCATCCTGAGTTTTCTTTTTGTTTTGCAGCTCATCGGGCGCGAGTGTTGTGGCCATTGACAACAAGATAGAACAAGCGATGGTGAGTGGCTGTTTCTGGTTTCAACCTGCTGTGTGTTACGTAACGCCCTAGCAAGGATGCGCTCTGCTGTGGCGCACACCTCCCAGTGTTCAGGAGCAGTTAATGATTAATAAACCGCTGAAAGCAGAAACGGTGTTCCTGCCCGTCAGAGCCAGAGGGCTTCCGGTTCGTTTTGAAGCTCGATCTGGACCCAAACGAGGTTCACACGCTACCCCCCACCCTACCCGTGTCACGCACCGACCCTGCTCTTTCTCCCCTGAGTCTAGTGTTGCTAGGCAAGCTGCAGCCTCTCCTCCACTCAGTATAAATAACTCGTCCGCTGATTGGCTCCTCCCACTTCTGCGCAGGAACATTTTGTTCCAAAGACTTAAGAGGGGCGGGGCCACGGAGGAGGAGATGCAGAATTGAACATCCTCCAGCAGCCTGGCTCTGCCCAGGAGTCATCAGGAGGAAAATACAGAAAAATGAAGCTGATCTATGAATGCATATGCATAACATATGATTTCTATTTTTGTTCACTCCTTTGTTTGACATCTTTTATCTTGCCTAACCTAACAAATACCATTATTAACATTCCCATTGGAGGATGTCTCCACTTTAAAACAATGAGTCACATTTAGACGAGCATTCTTACTTAACCAACCAAACAAGGACTGCAGCTTGTTTACGGCCTATCCCATACACAGTTATGTGAAAAGAGGCAAATATCAGCTGATTTGTTGTTGGGGCCAAAATGTTGGTCGACAGCTATTATATGTTTACTCACAAATGTTTAAAAGCCTTTAAAATAACAAATCTGACATCTAAACTTCCAAGATGTCATTACCTTGTTTTGAGCTTTTAAATATTTAGATTCAGCCATTTAAAATCAGTGGTGTAGATGTTGTGTCATTCCTTCATCAACTACACACGGATTTAAAATGTCCACGTTATTAATCATGTGTTTTATGCTAATATTACAAATTAAAACATGATTCCAGGTGTTTCTGGTTTTGGGAATCCTCTAAGATCTTTTCCTGTCATCTGTAATTAATTACTAGTAATAATATAATAGTAATCATGTGCTAGAATATGAGGGGATATGATTTATTTTAGTGTTAGTTTGGTCTGATTGTATGGTGTATTGACCTGCCGTAGACTGGAGTTTGCTGCATCGTTAAACTGTGTCCTCCGTTTTCAGGATCTTGTGAAAAGCCATCTGATGTACGCCGTGCGTGAGGAGGTGGAGGTTCTGAAGGAGCAGATCAAAGAGCTGATGGAGCGCAACACCCAGCTGGAGCAGGAGAACAACCTGCTGAAAACCTTAGCCAGCCCTGAGCAGATGGCTCAGTTCCAGGCCCAGGTCCAGACCGGCTCTCCCACCAGCACTGCTCTGCCACCGCTCTCATCCGGAACCACGCAAGTCCTCGCCTCCACACAGAACTCGAGCACATCAGCGTAACGCAGTGTGGACACCGGAGAGAGTCCACCAGGATGAGAGACAGGGGGGATGGAAGGCAGAAGATGAGGAGGAGGAAGGACACACCGTGAATGGACATCACTAATACGGATCGTGCCATCATTTTTAGGAGCTCACACTTCAAACCAACCGGAACCAACTTTTTATTTTTGTTGCAGAGGCAGGCCGGAGTTCATCTCGCGTCCCCGCTACATCTTTTAACCACGTGCTTCAGACAATCGTCATCCTGGTTTAGGAAAAAAAAAAAAACGAGAACCCCTCGCTATGTGACTCGTTAACCTCCTCTACCACTCCACCTGCACACATCGCCACTCTTCTTGTTCCAGTTTTGTCCATTTGCACGTTTTCCAGACTTTAAATGGAAAACGGTTCATAAAACCCGTCTGGAAACAAAAAGCTGGTGCAGCATCAGGAGTCTGAAAGAGGGAGCTTCTTTGTTTGTGTTGAGGACTTGGTGTTCTTTCTGAGATCCCCTTCTCCGTACACTAACACACACACACACACACACACACACACACACACACACACACACACTCCCCCCCTTTCTCTGATGGAGCATTAAAAATTAATGTAGAGAATCAGTGTTTGTATTTTAATTTCAACAGGGTAGGAGATGTCTTTGTTTCTATTTTTGCTCTCGATGATGTAAAATAAAAAGTGACATGAGAATAAATAGGACAAGACTGTTTATAGGTAGTGATCTTTGTACAAATTCAAAGTTTCCAGTTAAACTCTGCCAAGTGCCTGGTTTCTAACCATAGATACATATATAAATCTTTTTTAGGTTCTTATCTCTGTAAATGTGTATATCTATGGTTTCACCAGGTTTTGAACTACCTGTGATGTCAGAACTCAGGGTGGGAACAGAAGAGGATGTTTTACCTCGACACTAAAGATGCTGTCTCTCCTGCAGTGACACACGGCTTTGAACTGGGCGTGGACTCTACTCTGCTGTCTCTTCTACCATTCAGGCTGCACCATTTGGGAACATGTGTAATTGTTTTGTTTATAAATGTAAATGGCAGTCATGGTTTTTATTTTTGTCATTTTGTACAGCCAAGTGTGTAAGTTGCTCATAGTGCGACTGGAGCGCTGAACACAAATGCGACACATGTCACGAGGAAAGGAAAAGGCCGAGCGGAAGTGTGTTGATGTTTTTGTGCATGCTCCTCCAGCCCATCACAAATGTGACGTATCAATTGCACTAGACAGTTGCACCTCAAATAAAAAAACATAAAAACAAAAAGTTTTTTTTTGAACTTTTATTGTTGAAAAATTATCTTTAAAAGTTAAAAACTGTTTTTTAATGAATAAATATTCATTTACTTGTGTAGCTTTAAGAAAAACCATTGGCTAAACAAAAGTTGGTTTAAATCTATAAAAAACGCTCAACGAGAGCTGCAGTTCAATGTGAGAGGCCCCAGACCTTGTAGGGCATGCGCAGAAGCCCGTGTAACATGTAAACATGTCTGTTTGAGCGCTTTTCATTGGTTGAGCCACGTCGAGCCTTTTTATGCTAGCTCCGCCTACGCCTCTAGTCACGCGGACCTGCACGCGGAGCGAAAATCCGGAAGTAAGGGGGGAGAGGGATAACGTCATTCACGGAGCTGCAGATTTTACACAAAACGTTCGAATTAACTATTTAAAAACGTTTTATTGATGGTTAAGTGGTGCGTTTAGCATTTTATTTTAACCAGGCTCAGTACGATTTTATTTAAGGAGACTGATGCCCTCTTCAAAACAAATTCCTAAAATGTTACAGATTCATAACAGTATGTACTCTTACATTGCTCTTTATATGGAGGTTTGACACAAAATAGACTATTTAAGAGACTTTCTCATGCACCGTCAAAACAATAACATTTTTTGTTAACATCTATAAACATCTGATCCATTCCTGTTGCTCACAGTCAGGTGCCAGTGTGGTATGAGCATGCAGAAATTGTAATATTTTTAAGTCGGTACCAATTTGGAAGCAATTTTTTCCAACTAATTCAAACATAATTTAGAAAGCAGTTTTCATACAGTTTGGTGTAACATCCACATGCTTTAGAGCAAACAAAATAAAAACAAAAGAAACAAGGATGGCCCTCTCCAAAATACATTGACAAAAATATAAGAACAGAAATAAATGATAAATTCATTAGAAATAATAATAAAAAGTAGGATAGTAGAAACACAAAAGCTTTTCAAAACTCTTTTAAAAGGCTTAAAACGTGTAATGATTGAATGTCTATTTTTGTTTACAAAACTTTGAACTTTTAAAATGAATTTTATTATGAAAACAAACACTTCTTGTGATGTTTTTCCATTTCGGTTTGAGCAGAAATGATATCTGAGGATGTGTGGACCTGGAGCTGGCCTGGCCCCTCAGGTCAGACCAGATCCTGGGTCCTGACCTGGAGTGTCTGACTGGGTGTCTCCAGTCCAGATGGCACTTTCGCAAAGTGTAGACGGGATGTGTCGAGAGGCGGACCGATCACACCTGGATTATCCATCCGGCGTTTGGGATCACGAAGATCTCCGATAGTTGCAGTGAACTCTTTTATACTTGAAAACAAATAACTGTTTGTGTATTGTTTTTGGTTCTTTGTTTCCAGACACCTAAAGACCACCCTGCCCTAAAATCGACCCCCAAAATCCTCTTGAGTGGACTTCCTGCTGAGTTGTTGATGTGTCTTTTATTGCTGAGAAAGCAGACAACCTGCTGGTTAAACCCCGAATTTCCAGACTGTCAGTAAGTAGGCCTCCACCTCCCGTCGGCCTCCCAAGACTCCTCACTGGGATTAGATCGTCCAGTTTCCCAAATGTTTGGAAACAAGAGCGGTGACAAAATCCCAAATAATCAACCAGCAACGTTACTTTAATAAAAGCCTGCAAACACGTTTCTACCCACACATAGTGAGTCATCCGATGCTGCATGTGGGCCCAGTAGGAGTGTGTGTGAGTGTGTGTACATTCCTGTGTAATGAGCAGGTCCAGTGTCATGGTTACGGTAGTTGTTGCTGTATGTGGGTCATGTTGTGTGTGTTTGTTTTGGGAAACAGCTGAGGGGAGGTGTGAACATGAGGTCGGGCGCCAGAGGAGTGTCGCATACAAGAAGCTAACATACTGAATTCAGTCATTTTATTTTGAAGGCAGGATTTGTTTTGACATTAGCAGTCTCCGAGAGAGATGGGTGAGGTAGATTAGCTACGTCACCCTTCCTGTGAGGTATAACCTATAAGGATCATCCGTTTCTTGGTTGTTTTTCTTGTGCTCATAGAAGCTTCTGTTTCTCGTGCACCAAAATAAACTCCCTGACATGACTTCCTGGGGATGGATCAGGATAAAATGTTGTTTTTGTTTAGTTCAGACAGTCAAACATGGCAGCCTTTTCCGAGTTGCCTGCTATCAGTCAACTGAAGTTCCTGTTTCCACTGAAGAGGGTTTCCTTTCTCTGGAAACAGGCCGGCCGAACAGGGATCGTCTATCCAGGACAGGTATTTTAGGTCATGAGACAGGAAATTGACACATTGTGCTAATTTAGGAACACTTAAGCCCCGACCTACTGAAACGCAGCTCTCTTTGAGTCCGTGTTTACACACTCCGATGTCTTCCTTTAAGTCCTGGCTCAAGAAGACCAGCTATGATGTCATAAATGCATATCTCTGTCCTACTTTGTCAAAGTCACATTACTCGGAGACACGTGTACCAGCACTGGGTGACGGCATTCTGAAATATCAAAACAAAAGGGGCATGTAGCTTGCTCTCCACCATGCAGAGAGAGAAGAGGGGGGATTATGAGAATGTAATCCCTCCGTTATCCTCTACTTTTCCTCCCCTCATCACCCTCTCTTTGCTCCCTGAAAGCTGTCAAAATGGTGTCACAATGCTCACTCTCCCCTCCTGAATCTGTTCATCTCTCCTCTCCATCCATTTTCACTTACAAAGGTCCGGTCTGCTGTCTGTAAAATAAAGCCTTTGCCATCCTGTTGGTGTTTTAAGTACAAGAGGGTGTGAAACAGATCAAAAGACAGGTGTGTTTCTGAAAATAAAGCATCAAACTGCAGAGATTTACTGTCGTTTTGGGCCTTTGAGTTGGATGAAAGCTTCCCACTGGTGACAAATTAAATGCTCTTTCTGGAACTCCAACTGAATCTCAGATTTTTTCTTAATCAAAACATCCCTTTAATTATTTATCTGTTTTGACTGAAACTCTGAATGTCTTGTCTGACATTTCAAGTTCACCAGGTTTCCTCTAAAGACACTCTCCCCTTCTTAGATGTCAGCTTAATGAGAACAGCAAACCTGTGATGGGTTAGTGCAAGTGAAAAAGAAAAAAGTAGCCAAACCCAAATGTTGAAAATAATCAAATATATTGAGTAGGTGACACTCATAAATAAATACAAAGTTTTTAGAACTCAAATGTGTTGAGTTAGTTCAATCTTCTCCTTGTTTTAAGTACGTAGAACTCAAACGTTTTAATTAATCTGAAAAAATATGTATTTTTAGTGAGCATAACTGACATAAATCAATAAGATCAACTTAACTTGAATGAGTAATGAACTAAAATAATAAATTATAATTTTATGTTTCTATATTGAAATGGAATGAAATGACTGTTTTCCACCTAAAAGCCATTTCCTTCCTCTCCTCAGCAAGATCTAATCTGCTTGAGATATTGCTCAAGGTCTCATGCTCTGCTTCTAAACTGTTTGTCCTTTCCAGCCCAAGAGAAGAATGAAGAAGACGAACTCTTTCTATTTTTGATAAAGCTAATCAAACAAAGTGTTAGTCCAATAATAAGATGTGAACCAATCTGTGAAATGACAATGTTATGATTAGTAAGTTTTAATAAGTAATATGACTTTAATCTAGCTGCACTAAACATACTGATGCACATAATGTAAAGTCACATGACACATTTTATCTTTCTCATCCAATCGTAACCTTCCTTTCTGAAGCATGGCATAGTCTCTGTGGTGTTTATAAATCTGTCAAACTTTAATTCGACTGTAAATCAAAACATTAATAAAAGATTAAGATTAATAAAACCAGTCCCCACGCCATCTTAGTTCAGTTCACCGCATTCTAAGAGAAGTAATGGACCGGCCACCCGGACTTCCTTTTTAAGCAAAGAACCAAAAAGCTGGAAAAATCTGTTGCACTTTACCAACCAAGCAACGGTTCCTTTCAGAATAAAAGCTGAACTCACTGACCCTCAGGGCCCATCTGATGCTGTCAACCAACTGTTGCTTTTTACCTGGAGACAAGCCAAAGACTAGTCTGTCGTACTGCTGACGCTGTTTCATCGGTTCCGGTACCGAAAGGGGGGTTCGAGGACCTGGCAGTCTGGATCTGTACGGAGGTCTCATCCTAAAGGGTATGTGTAGAGCGACAATATGGCGTCTCATGTGTTTATGAAACTCTGATCATAACTTAAAAGCAAAACATCACAACTTCATTCAGACTTGCTTCTCCAGATATGAGAGTTCTGATGACAAACATCACTCACAAGGCCGGATTAACCATATGGGCAACTGGGCAATTGCCCAGGGCCCACAAACTCTAAAGGGCCCAGGGCAGCAAGGGCACGAGCAAATTACTGTATCTGTAATCTCCCACTTTATATTAAACTATTGTGACCGTACGTCCTGTTTTCCCCGGACCTGTCCGCTTTTCACTCTGTCCGGGATGTCCGGGTTCTTGTATTGATGAAAATGTCTGGCTTTTCATCCAGGAGCAGGGATGGGGGAACTGTATATCCTACACATCCAGGGGAGCCGGAAAAAAGTTTTCTACCTATATTACTATATTATCATTCATGGACTCTTTTCAGCAGAGAGCGGCAGAGCGATGATCGGTGTGCAGCGCTCCAGGCTGCTGCTTCCAGCGCACGGTCCATTCTCAAAGTGGCGCAACCAAAAAACTATAATTAGCACACGATCATTCATGTCCGCACATGTTCTCTATTTTCTGTCTTATTTGTGCCTGAAGCGCTCTGCTACTGCGGAGCTCCTCACCTGTGCTGCGGTGACTCCACCTCACTGACGCAGCATCGAAACGCGCTCTCCGCTTTGTGGTCAGGAGATCCCTTTGATCTGCTCAGAAGTAACTGATGAGGTGAAAAAGTAAGAATCCAGGCAGCAGATTTTCTGGAGTTTAGAGGAGATGCAGGAAGATGAGAGACAGACAGGACAGGAAAATATAGTGAAAATAAAAACAAGAAAACAAAGTAAAAAGTAGGTAGATTTATCTCCACTA